AAGTTAGTTCAGCTTCCATTCCTTACATACAAGGTATGTTTGTAGTCAGGATGTCTACAGGAGTTAAAGTTCTAAGTTTTTATGACTTGAAAATATTTTGCAAGAATGTATACCTTGCTTGGTGCTGTCACTGAACAAAGGATGGATGAGAGCAAAGCTAAAGAAATGACAGGACTGACCCTGCCAGTCAATGCCCACGACAGCATTCATGATGTCCATCAAGGTGCCTGGGAGAGAGATGGAAAGTGATAATTCTGAATGTTACCTCAGCTTGTTAAACTGTTGTTCTTGCTCTTGCTTCCACTTCTTACTCTGCTTTTGTTGTTTTTTGTGGTTGTCTATTCTAAAGTTAAAAGCTGCAACAGCCGAACATGGCTTGAATCAAAAGGGGTTACTCTAACGGAATTGCAAAAGGATCATGTATTCGTTTTATTATTTTCCCTTTCCTGTAGCCAAAGAATCAGGAAGCCAACAAAAAACTAAGCTGTGTTCAGACTAAACAAAAGTACTACACAGTCCAAATTCGTTATGGGAAATGTGTAACTCCTCTACAGTTAAAACTTATCTTCCTACTACAGGCCCAGTTTCTTTCTCTCCTCTGGCTAAGTTGCATATGAAGCACTATTCTGCACACAACTTCTCAGGAGATTGTGTGGTGAACGATTTAGGAGTTCTAAAAATCATCTCACTTCACTCACTGTTCAAAGATCCTCCTCTTAACTGAACCCTGCCATGTCGTCAATTAGGCTAGAATTTCCATAGAAGCACAAAGAGAAGCTGGTATCCAACTTCAATGAAATGCAACAGGAGCTGGGCATTAACTTCCCTGCACTGTTTGAAAGTGTCAATCTTTATTAAAAACATGGCTTGGCTTCAGAACACCCTGGAGATGTGCTGAGCTCTGCTTGCCTGCTTCAAGCTGCTCAACTAGAGCATGAAAGGGAACCTTGGGGGCAATTTTCTGAAGTACTTTTTAGGGCTATTACATGGGGAATAATTGGCAACTTAAAATTAAGGGACACAGCTGCTGTGTTACATGATAAGGGTGGCTGTTGTAAACTGCCCTTTTAACCCAAAATTCCACAGGGCATTAATATTTTTGCTGATAATGTAGCAAACCATGGTGCACATATTTTGGCAACTACAATTCATTTCTGAATTGGCAAGGACCAAAGAGAGCTTCTCGGATCAGGGAAACCCAGGTCAGGATCTCCTTTGGTCTATTTTACTTTAGGCTGTATGTATTTGAAGTATCTCCAAATTAGAAAAGTAGACTAAAATGTACTAAAGTGAAGTCTAAATTTTAAGAAGTGCTGCTCCTATTATATAGAATTTATATGTGGAGAATTTAAACTATTTGTCTTTTCAAAAAGGATATCAAGTACTGGGTAATAAACCAATTCCCTACAAGTGCTTTGTTAATTACTTTGAAAACATACAGTAACAAGATATGCCTTGGAGTTATTACATAAACTTAAAATTAAGAATGAATTTTACCAGAGATTTTCTGTTTCAAAAGTCTAAATGAAGTCTTCTTGGCTATTTTGCTGTAATGTAAACCAGGGCCATGAGGAAGGGAAGTTCTCATCTCATTTACATTACTGTAGAGCATGAGTAACTCAATTAAAGTCAATAGCTTTGAACTTGCTTAAACGAGACAAGACCTATAAGGGATTACAAGGTTGTTTTAAGCATGCCCAATAAAAAAAGAGTCTTATCAGGTTTTACTTACGGCCTGCAGCAATCCACGTTGTACAGCCTCACTTTGCTGCTACTAGATTGTTTTTGTGTGTGCCAAGTATAAAGTGTGTAGTTTAGCACAGCTCAATGTTGCATTTTAAAAACAGACCTCTAGTCCCCAAACTCCTCCCTTCCCCCCAAGAAAAACAAAAGCTAACGTGGACATTAATCACAAAGCCACAAAGCACTCTACAGCATAACTAGGTTTAAGATGAAGACAGCAGATGCAAAAAGTTCTCACTCCACATACCCAGACTGAGACTAAAGGTCATCTAATCTGATTTCCTGTATATCATACTCACTGAATGTGAATCAAATTACTTAGGACCACAACTCAGCTTTGACTAAAGCAAGTCTTTCTGAAAGGCATCAGGCCTGAGATGAAAGCCTTAAGAGAAAGGGAATCTGTCACCTCCCTCATGACTTCATTCTGCCTTAGAATTACCCTTGCTTTAACAGAATTTTGATCACAAGTTTGTTTGTATTCAGCTAATCATGTTCTTCCCCGCTAAAGAGCCTGCAGAGCTTTTGTCCCCATGGAGATACTCAGATTTATACAAAAATCATCTTTCAACCCTTTTTTTTTCCTTTTCTTTCTTTTAATGCCCTAAGGAAGGCTGAGCTCCTTAAGACTCTCACTGTTAGGCTTTTTTAGCCCTTGACACTTTGAAAAGGCTCTCTGCGTTTGGTCCCATATTTTAATGTAGATACTAAAGATGTGTATTGTATGCCAGTATCATCTCTGCTGCCACGGAAAAACAAGAACACACCCTCCCTTCTGTAGAACTTACACTTGCCAATTCTCTGATTAAAATACATGGGACAACATATGAGGCCAATTGACATAGGGGTACGGGTGCTCAGAAGTTTACCTTTGATCACTGGATGCATTTTTTCAAACTAAAAAAGGCCCAGGAGGATGAAATGCTTAACAGTCTAAAGGAACAGAAAGAGGGAGGCTACAGAGGGAACAAGTGTGTGTTTAAATACAGAACCTGTTCTGCCATCATTAATGGCAAAGATGAAGAGGAGCCTACAGTAAGTGAAGTTTGCCTCACCAATAAAATAGCTGACATTAAACATTAAAACTGACCTGACTGACGCTAAGAAAAGTCAGATAGCCAGAACTCTAGCTTTTCTCTTCAACACAACCTTCTCAGCAAACCTGGGCCAGGGAGATACAGGTCAAGCACAGTCATAAATCCAGTATTTTGTTAGTTGTTAAGGCTGGAAATGTATTAGCTCTATCATTAACCCTGTAAGTAAAATGTCCCTTCATCTTGGGCAAGAGCTTTCATTTCCAGTGCCAAAGTCAAGTTAGGTCACCCACTTCCCAATATCCCTGAAGAGAGGGCTCAGGACATTCCTTCCCTTGGGTAACTTGGAAAGCACGTCTCATAGCACAGAGACAGCTTCCCAGCTCTGCAGACTTGTATGAAATGAAAGCTGTGCTGATTAAATTTTTATGTAAGTCACAAGAATTCCTTGAAATGTTTTATGTTGTTTGTTTTTTTCTGTAAAATAAATGGTCCCATCATGGCATGCTGGGATGGAAAAGCTTGACGCATGTTCTTTGGGGTATGTGCTTAGCCTAGCTGATGCATATGGAAGTTCATTCCAGAGCAGTTCCCTGAATTTAATTGTGGCAGAGTATTTGGGTGGTAGCAGTCTTTTGCCTCACAAAAGACAGCCTGTTAAAAGATTTCTTTTTCCCCTTGCAACTGGGCTGCCAACACTGGAGCTGAAAATAAATCAACATGATGAGTGTGTGAAGAGCTGGGCAGTGAAAAATTCTACCAGAAGGACCTCTATTGAAAGCTGAGAAATACACAAAGCTTGGGGAACATTAGGAAGCAAACCTGCTGGTTAATAGAAGTGCAGAGGGGACACACATCTTTGGTCTCTACAGTGTCGGTTTATATTAAGCTTTATTTTAAAAGTGATTATTACATTGGCTGGGTTTCAGTCCCAGTGCCAAAGGTGCCAAATAAATACCAAACATACTCCAGGGCTTTCCACCGCCCCTACCCGCTGCATTTGAACCACGGTAATTAGACAGAATTGACATTGGAATGCTTAGGGCTGGAAGAGAACGACGTGTTTCCCATCCTTAGGGCACTTTTCGTCCTGTTCACATGAATACAGACATGCTAGGCATATACTGCTAGTTCAACGGGCTACAGAATATTCAGCGTGCAGGCACCCAGCCCCTGGCCTGATTTGGAAGGTCCAAATGCAAAGTTAAAACCATATGGGTTCACAAGCAATCCATGCTGAAACCAAAAGGCACAGAGGTGCCACGCGGGAAGTTCTGGGCTTGAGTAAAGATGGCACTGCTTCCTGCTCCATTTTGGAAGAGGAAAGCAAGGGACCAACGTTCCTCTCCACAAGCTGAGACAACACCCACAGAAGGAACACATGCACAGAGGCACCTCCTTCATCTCTATGCCCCTATAAGCACGAGCACAGCAGTCACTGTGGCATCCATGTGTGGTAAACCTGCACTGATTCCTCTCATAGGCAGCGGAATCCAGAATCCCGGCTGCCTTGCCGAGCCGATGTCATACAGCACCTCTTAAACCCATCACAGCCCCTTCCCAAGGGCCAGTCCTGCTGCAGCACTGCAGCTGCTGTGCTAAGGGACTTGCTGTTACCAAGCAGAAGGGGGAGACAAGACCTCAGCTTTTCTCCAGTTCCCCAGGAACCCAGACTTCTGCCCACTTCTTGCAACAGTCCTGACCTGCTGCTCCCTCCAGAAGGGTTGAAAACGCAGCTGGTCAGAGAGGAGGGCCATGAAAAACAGCTCCTCTCCTCCTCAGCAGGGCTGGCTCTGTCCCCACAGCAAAACCACAGCACTGGTACTGCCAAGAATTCGGTTTGCATTCTTCGCTCCCTGTGGTAGCCACTAGGCCACACGGTCTCCTTCAATCCATTTGCATTTTATTAGGTCTTTTCATGCATCAAGGGACAAAAGAACAAACCACTTCCTCCCACTGAGGTCTCATTTCACACTTCAAATGGGCTATACTAACCTTTATGGTGGAGCAGCTGCCAGGGAGGAGGGGCAGGAGGCAGCAGACAGGGCTAGGATGACAGGACAGAGCAGAGTCTGAAGATGCAGCCTCCGCTCCTCTCCCAGCAACCCAGAAGAACCCGAATCAGTGCAGAGCAACACCTTTCCCTCCTGTCCCCATCTCAGGTGCACCCAGAGCTCTACAGCCACCCTGGTGGCATTCAGCCTGAATGCTTTCTAGACTCACCTCCCACCTCCAGTAGGTGCTGCTGAGTTAATAGCCTGTACCATGTCCGTAGTCAGAGCATCAAGTAAGCTGGTAATAAATTCAACTTTCTTCCCTTCTGGGCAGCCTGCAGAAAGAAAAGAAGAGGTTTAATGCAAGAACACAGAGAATTGGTCTCCTATCTCAGCTCAGTAAGGACCAGAAAGAACCTCCTTTGTTTATAGATGGCAGCCATCATCACAGTCCCTAAGGAGGAAAGGCAGAAGAATCCCTCAGTGGGTTTCTCTGTGTGGCAATTTGTCCTGCAGCTTTTGTCCAGGCACACACAAGGTCACCAACAATATCTGGCAGGAAGGCTGTGTGGTTAGCTTTATTGCCTCTCCCACTTCTCTACCAGAAAAACGACAGGGATGTGCTGGAAGTGCCTGGCAGACAGGAGTTCCCATGGTGAAACTTGCAGAGAAGTTTACAAAACAACTCATTACCTCCTGGGTCATCTTCCTCTGCAAACATGGCTGTTCTGAGGCAATAACTGACAGCTTAAAGTTCCCCAAAGCACAGGCCAAAGTGAGTACTGCTGCTTGCACTCTCCTCTCTTCAGGCACAGAGAGCATTGCCTGCCAGCAGCTACCACAATAATTCAGTTCTTTGCATGATCACACTGCTTGGGAAATACGTCAGTCTGAGTCAACACATGTAATCACCCCAAGCCACTGTTGGCTTAAGCAGGACAAAGTAGGCTGAAGACAAGCTTGGTAACCATTTCCATTACTTAGTGCTGAGGTTGTCTAGCCCCCCACCATCATAACCACAGACTGACAGAGCCTCCTATGCTTAACAGTGCTAGCCTGTTGTGACATGGTTGGGACAAATTTCTCCATCTCCTCACCTTTATGAGGAAATCTGTGCCATTTCCTTGCTTCTCAGAAGAGCACAAGCATGTTCTGCTTGCCATCATATTAATACTGTAACAATTGCTCTAGCCTACTAAGGAACAAGCATACTTAACTTCAACCCACCACCTCCAAAATTATTGTTCAAAACCCATCAGTTCCCATTTCTCCAAGCCACCATGCACTACCAGTTAGTTAGCTGATTAAGGCAACAGATATCAGAACACAGCCTCCCCCAGCAACACAGAGCAGCATCAACACTTTCTGCTTTTCTCAGACAAGCAGACAAGAACATGTACCCCAGAGCACCAGAAACTTATTGTAATCTCTTGACAGCTGAAAGCAGCTCGCAAATTGATCTGACAAAACTCCCTCCTTTGCAGTATTACAGGCTCTGTTCTCTGCAACAGCTAACTAACAGTCCCTCTCCTGTCTCCATATTATGTGCATTACACACATGCACACCCCTCAGCACTTGTTTGGCACATGGTCCAGAAAATGTCAGCATTATAATGGGTAAGCTGCTATGGCAGCCAGAGGAGACCACTCACTTAAAGGAGCTTTTTGTTGCAGTAATGAGAAGGTTGAAAAACCATTTGCTAGAAGTCATCTCCCTGGGGCCTCAGCATCTCACCGTCTGCAGGAATTAGCAGCTTGCCATTTGCTATGTGCAAGCAACACTTTCCTGCCTTCTTTCTTCTGGCCACAACCATAATACAACTTGTGAAGAGGGTAAATGTAGGGGTGCAAGGATCTGGACTTATGTCTCTCCCACCCTGACCTCTGTAGGTTCTCTTCACACAGGCCAAAGAGCACACTGCCTGCAGCACTGACAGTCTGAAGAATGGGCAAACCTCTAGAAGAAGAATAAATTATGGGGTTCCCCTTAAAGGACCGAGCACAAATGGAATGATCAGTCTCAAATTAAAGCAGTGGTTTTTCTCAAAATTCAGTTCTGCTAAGAAATACGAGCAAAAAAAAAAAAAGTTAAAAGAAACATCCTCTCACCCCCTGTAGTTCTGGCTCACCAGTGAATTTTTAAATACAAGAGCAGCTAATCAAATAAACCTCAAGTCTGCATCAAAAGATTACACAGCACAACATCTCTCAAGCAGACAAACCAGGATCAGATCCTCCATCTCCTAGTCTCCCCATACACAAGGGGTTCTTTTGCAGTGAGAGGAACCATCATGCCAGCCAATGCAGCAAAGCACAGAGCTGAAAAGCACAGAAAAGTGACTTGAGCAGAGGAGGGAACCCCTCCTAGAGTCTGATGCTGGGCCCAGACCCCTAAGATACAGAGCATCATGTGTCCTCTTCTACATCAAGTAGTTCCTGTGCCCTTGTTCAGCTGCAGTGCAGAGGGGAGGAAGAAGGGAAATGAAACCATTTTGTCTCCCTGAGAGATCAGAAAGAGGATCACAAAGAAAATGTCCAAGAGCAAAGGATTTTTACAGAGGAGTTCTGAAGACATGGGGGAAATGCAGGGAAAGGCAATAAAGCAAGGGGAGAAGGGGATGGGGAAAAAAGAAAGGTTATTCTATTTTAGCATTATTTCCTAAGGAAATGAGCTTTAATGCAATCATTTAGCTGGTTTCCTTCCCCCCCAAGTTATACTCAAACCAATTGGCCAATTTCATTTGAACATGAGAGGGAGGCAGATACGAAATTTCGATATGACTTGTGAAAATGAGGAGCTACATAGGAGGGAGCCCTGCTGAGGGCAGAGTTGCTAAGCAGAAAGCTATGGGGCCTGAGGTCAGGAGCTGGCAGGAGGAGAATTAGAAGACAGAAGGTAAATCTGGAACAAAGCTCATTTCCTTCACTAACCTGCTCAGGGACAACTCACTTTATGCTGACCCAGCCAGGAGAAAATTAAGTGGATCCAGAATAACCAGCTCTTTCTGCAGAGTTCTTGGTCTCTTCCACTCCCTCATGGTGGAGAGGAACCCACTGTAGCTTCTGTTTTCCAGCAGTCAGCCCCCGCTCTGGAGAGTAATGGCTGACCTGTCTGTCAGTGAAGGCCCTCACTCTGTTCCTTAGGAAGTGGGAGGAAGGAAAAACCAGAGCACAGGCAGGTAGGATGGCATTTTTAAGAGCTACACCTATGGCCAGCACATCTTCCCAGCAGAACCAAGGTAGGCAAATAGTACAACATGGCTTGTCTCTGTTAAAACAAGCAGTAGTGGGAGTTAAAGCAGATCCCAAGCAGAAAAACAAGAGATAGAGTCCAGCTAAGTGAGGAGCCAGCGTTAGTTAAGGGATCTTAAGGCACTGGGAATGATGTCCTGCCTGACAATTGGTCCACTGACAAGGGCATCCTCTCTTTTTGCTCAGGGGGCACCAAGCTGCTGCAAAGCCCTCTTAACAGAAAGAATCCTGTCCTGGCCAGGCTTTGAAGAAGAACTTTCAATGCTGAGCTTATTCTTCCCCCAGGGGACTTCCAGGCATCCAGGTTTCCTTTCTGAAAATTCTGATCCCAGACATGTTTTCAAAGGGCAGACAGGTAAAAAACTGCCCCCCAGGACACTCCCAGCCTTTTCCAGTTCACTGCTGAAACTGGAGGTAATCCAAAATAACACAGAATAAAACCCATGGTAGAACATGCACAGTGAGGGAAATTCCCCCATCTCCTCAATAGTATTCTTGGCCTCTTGAGAGTTCCAGGGTGAGACAAGGGAAGAAGGCAGAGATGGGATCTTGTTCCTCTCTGACCTGGAAGTTCTCTGTCCTTGAAGGGATCATCAATCTCAGTGCTCTTCGATCTGGCATCGCTTTCACATACTGGGGTCTCATAGCTGAAAAAGGAGAACAGCAGATGCTAACCTATGTGACATAGGCTCAGTGTCATCAGAAGGTTGCTAGGGGGTTGTGTCTTATCTGCTTACTGAAGGGGAAACCAATAAACATGCAAAATAAATATTCTTAGCCATTTGTCTGCTTATAGACAGACTGCAACAGCAGCAGAAGGGGAGAGAGAAGGCAGAGCATACTCTGAGGTCCAGAACCATCTACCAACCCAAACCCAAAACCAGAACAAGGGCCTTTTCCGACTCCTGTGGGCACAGGCGGAGCTTTTTTCCAAAGATGTCCATGCTCTGCAGAATCACTATCTATCAAGAGCTTAGGTCCCAATTCCCACTGGCCTGTTTTTATAACTTGCCCAACCCACAATTTGTTTCCAAACCCCAGGTGAGAAAAGATTCCTCAGGTCACTTTAAGATACAGAGTAACTTACAGAAAAATCTATCACTGACTTAAAAATCTACCAATGCACAACCAAGCAGTCTCTACATCTGTACTGGTCAGGATCCAAGTGGCTGCTGTAGCATGGAAGTATAAAGCAAAGGATAATGCAACAAAACCACCTGTCTTTCTGCTGCTTACGTCCCTGATCTGTACCCTTGAGCAAGGCCCTGGTTCTTGTTACCACCCAAAAGATGTAAGTCAGAAAAAAAAAGTCTGCTTTGCATGAGTACTTAACTCCCTGGAAAGGGCAGTAGACACTGGGCACTCCCCCTCCAGAGAGGGAGCTGCTTGGTAGCACTTAACACAGGACAGACACCACATGCAGCAGTGCTAACTTTTAAAAAAATAGTACAAAGCTGACTGCTCTACAAGCAAGAATTCATCTGAGACAACAACAGTGTTTTGTATCCCATCTCCTCCAGGCAGCCTACAGCTCTTACCGAGTGGAAGTGCCAGGCAGCGGGCGTCCTGTGTCCACCAGGACACACCAGCAGTACCCAGTGGACTGGTGGCATTGCACTGGTTTGTAGAGCCCTCCAGGAGCGCACTCGGGGATGACGATACCCTCGCGGGGGTTCTGCCTGGCCTCCTCCAGGGCACTCTGCCGCTCCTGGTCGCAGGAGTGAACTTTCTCTGGAAGACAGGAGGGAGTGGAGAAAAAAGTCAAATCACGATCACCTTCCTCAGCTCAGCAGAACATGGGTATCCTTCCCATCAGGAAGACCTTTGTGACTGTTTCATTCTCAGCAAACACCAGCATGTCTACACCCCTAGGGACTCAGAGACTCCTGGATTGAGAACCTCCTCCTATGGTTAGCTGGGACACAACAAGATTATGGACATTGACTGCCAAGCAAGCCAGGAACAGCAAGAAAAATAGTTCCCATTCACCTGGGTTTTGGAACAGGGCTATCAGATAATAATTCACCATTACTGCAGCCACAGTTCCCAGATGATGTTTTTGCATACTGAGAGATCCTAAATTATGACTTGTATTTTCCAGTTAAATGAAGGAGGCAAACACCCTGCCCTGCCCCACCATCTTTCTCCAGGCTGCAATGCATTCTCTCAATCCCAAGAGGAGCAGAAGTCTGTTTTAACTTCATCTTACCCAGTGCAGAGAGCACCTGCACACACCTCAGGGAGGAACTGAACGGGATATCCTATTCTACCCACACTGCCCATCAGTCTCCAGCACACTCCACCATTATCCTCACCTGCAAAACAGGGCACCCAACCATGATCCTTAATAGCTTATTACACTGAAAACGTTATTTCCAAAAACATCATCAGCCAGGGAGCAGAGTACACTGATGGCACACACCAAAGAACAGTAAGAAGCCCAGTAGTGGCTTCTGCAGCCACCTGGCACCTTCGACCACTGCCTGCAGAGGAGTGTTGGATGCAGGGAGAGGAGCCAGGCTGCTGCCTCTTACATGGACCAGCCATTAAAGGGGAAGGGATGCACAGAGTACCCATGGGACATTAAGACCTATTTGGCTTAACAACCAGTCGATCTCTCTTACAAGTTTTCAAACATTCTGGACTTTGAGAAGTAGGACAATTATTTCAATTTTGGAAACCACTGAAGGTAACAGGAAAAAGCTCACATACAGGACAGAAAGCAGTCAGAGCAGGTGATCACAGGATTTAAAATATGTCTAAGTTGATGGTAAAAAAAGACAATATAACTCCTAACTTTTATCCCATGGAGAGTGACAAAAGCCAGAAGCAGGAACAGTTGTTCTCTCCTCCCCTAGCTTTCCTTTCCTTTGCAGCTTACTTTGTTTTTTCTTTTCATAAATAAACCAAAATATCTGAAATTCCTTGCCACAGCCAAGAATCCCCTAAAGCTTTCAATACATAAAATGCTTCAACACTGACAGGCAATGACACCACAGGTTCATCCCAAACCTGCAGATGTTTGCAGTGTCAGCCAGAAGACATGGCATGACCTCAGCATCCTACCCCTGGGACAGGCTCAGCACACAACTAACACACACTTGTTTCTGTGTACATGGCTTGCCTGTACTCCATCAGTTATATCTTGTATGTTGGTGATAAATTCTGGTGCAGAGGGTAACTTTTTTTTTGCATTTGGGGAACAGAAGGGGTGCTGATTCCCAACTATAATTCCTCTAGCTTGGTAGCAACAGATACAACACAAAAAACTCCAGCAGGTCTGCACATCATCACCTGAGTACAGTCTGCTGTGGGTACCAGAAGGACTTTTACTGGTTTTTAACTGAACTGTAGCTCCTAAAGAGTTCCAGAGACCCAGAATGGTCTCCCTCTCCTCAGCATTTCAGATCACTGTCAAGGCTGGAAATGAGAAGGGCACCCGAACTTCACCACACACAAATCCACACAACTGAAACACAGAATAAAAACCTTTAAGTGTCTGCAAGTCTGACTCAAGCAGAGAGAAACTTGATCAGGAAGGAGCAGGAGGGGATAAAGTCAACAAAAACCAAAAAGGAGCTCAAGCCTCAGCTGATATTTAAGCTGACTTCACTTGGCTGACAGATTTCACATCTGAAAAAAAGGCCACGTGACTGTTCGCAGGCTGTAAGTGGACAGAGAAGTCATTGAGTGAGAGGCTTTCAGGCTCCTTAACAAGCCACTTACATCACAAGGGGCCCCCCACTTGCCCCCAGTCTGCCAACAGCAATTCACACCTTGGCCCTCAGGTGAGGAGGATCATTCATGCAGTTTGGGGAAGCAAGAACAGGGATAGAATTCCCCATCATTGTTTTACATAATAAGAAAAAAAAAATTCTGCTGAAGAGAACTACATTCCAGGAATTTCTCTAAATCCCCAGAGCTTCCTAAGCACACAAAGTCAAACCAAGATCTCCCACATCCTTGGAGTCTAAAATTACTCAGAAAAAAAAAGTGGGTTTTTTTCTATGTCAGAAAAAAAAAAATGCTACTTTTATTGAAATCAAGAAAAAAAGAACAAATTTCTTTTAGTGAGTTAGTATCTTATTTTACATATATTTGCAGTTAGGTATGCAAATTAGACAGAATAAATGTACATACACACATTTGGACTATGCCATAAAAAATAGCAATAATGTCTCTGCCCACACTAACAGAAAATTGAGAATCAAATAGTCACAGCATTTACTACCTGAATACAGTATTAACTGGTAGTCACTCCTGTTTAAAGGGTGTTTAAAGGCTGAGTGACAAATCTTACAGGCTTTGTTCAGTTGACATTAAATAGATGCAAAATCTGCCATTGTCACCAGTATTCAGTGACCTGACATTAGCACTGATAACAGCACAACTGAAAAAGCAGGGAGATGAAGTTTTTCTCATTTCTAGCATACATCTAGAAGTAACCACTATGAAAGCCTCACCTATTCCATTACATGACCATAAGAGAAATACTGGGGCAAACCAAAGGCCCAAATTGTCTATTTCACCTCCAGCTGCGGCCAAAAGCAGAAGCTTAGACAAGAAGAGAGGAATAGGACAAGCATATACTTCTTTCCCCTATGTATTTCATGTCTCCACCAGCAGTGGGTCAGAAACTTGCAGAGATAGACCTGGAGTTTGTATTTAGTGAGTACCAGTGTTTTTTCCCTTCCACTGGTTTGCCATGTCTCCCCTCAAACTTTTATTGACTAAGACATCCTGTGGCTAGTTCCGTGACTTGCCTACACGTGTGTGGAACCCAGCACATCCAAACATCAAACACAGGTTTGATCTAAAACTCGCTCCAACTAGTTTTGTTTGCTGACCTTAGTTCTTACAGAGGATGAAACCGTGAAGAGTTTGCAGTGTCCCTCCTTGCCTCTCACTGCTTTACAGATTTCTTCTTCATCTCTTTTACATGATGAAGAGACCCAGCAGATCCACTTCCTTCACTGAACCCTTTCCAGGTCCACCATACCTTCCCTGAGCTAGAGGGGATCAGAACAGCAAACACATTGACACTAAATGGAGACTCTGACAACAGCCTTGTGGAATGTTCCTTCAGTGACATGTCTACTACAGAGAAGAAAGCATTAACCAGCACTAGCCCCTGGAGAGGCTCTTTCCTCCAAGCTACCACTCTAACAGCACTTAATTCCCTTAAAAAATAAACACTAGTACTAACAGTTGGGGTGTATTTCAACCGCCAGCAAAATCAGCTGGTAAATTCATACCTTCAGCTTCCTTAGTATGGGACTTGGCAAGGACTGCATACACTGTCACCTTGGAAGATGGTCTCATGGGTAATGAAGGGACCATCAAATGCTGTCCCAGCTCCAGAACATTGAAGTCAGCCTGTTCCTGTCAGACTTCTTACTGGAAACTTTGCTGTTGTTGCCAAGGCCCGGCTTATGGAGGATAGTGAAAGCCTATGGCCAAGCTAGAAGGTTTAATGCCAGCTATGAAATTAAGCTGTCATCTTAGAGAGAAGCATGTATTTATTCTACACGCAGGGTACTTAAAAACCTATTCCTTGTTTGAGTTAATGGGGGTTGCAGGCACAAAGATAAAAGGGTTTCCTTCTTTCCTTATATTAAATATTTAGAGAGAGAACAACACTTAAGACAGCAAGTCAGTAGGACACAAACAGCCTTTCCAGGACCAACAATAATATTACAACACACCCCTTTTTTTTAAGGCACTGTCACACTCCCTTGTTTTCTGCCATCTCTACTTTGACTCAGACAACCATTAGCAAAGAAGCTGAGTAACACTTGCCAACTTGCTGTTGCTGGGGAGCAAAACCTTCAGAAGACAGCAAATCTAGATTCCAGCAAATCCACTTACAGCAAAAAAAAATCTAGGGAATGCATGCACACACAAAGGAGAGAATCACTGGCAAAAAGATCAATTTTTCTTTAACAGCTCAGCTCTAAAATGCTGCTTGTTATTTCTTAGTCTTGACTGCTGTTAACACTCCTTAAAACATTTTTAAAAGTAGTGTCTCTGAAGCTATGAGCTATTGCAGAAAAACAGGGCTTGGACATCTGCAGTTGTACATTATTTATGCAACAATTTTCCCCTAGTAATGGCCTTCTGAGAAATACATGGTCAGATTCATAAAAAGGTCTCTCATTCCTTGTCCCTTAAGTACACACATCGAAACACGCATCTAGTGCCTGCACAAGAAAAATAAAAGTGATGGATGAGGTAAGGGACTCATCTGACTGTCTAATAAACCAGATGGTTATTGAAGAGATGGGGTGTTTGTTTACCTTACAAAGCTGAGAAGAGGGTGACTAGCAGCATCTAACCAAAGAAGTGTTTATCAGATTTCAGGCTCAGCTTGCAGGGCTCAGAGCAACCAACACACTGCTCTGGGGACGAGGCAGCCTCCCTCAGCTGCTCTCCAGACACATTCTGTGTCTCACTGCTATCACAGCCAAAGGACCAAGCATTAATCACCAGTGCTGCAAGGATGATGTGGATGATTAGGGTGGGACATAAGGAAGATCTGCCATCCAACCACAGCAGATTGTTTTATGAATATTGCTGTTCCACACCCATTTTTGTTCTTATTAGAATAAGAGTGAGACGATGACACCAAAACCAACCACCTTAGAGAGGTGCCTGCAGCCTTGATAGGCAGCCTTCTACCAAACTAGGCAAAAGAGAGGGTCTAACCTCTCTGGGCTTCTGCCCAGCCCCAG